TTTTAATTTTTTTGATTTTTTAAAATTTAATTTTATCTTTTATGTTATTTTGTTATTATTAATAATTATTCATATTTTTATTATCTTTTTTATTTGATTTACATATTTAAGTATTAAATTATTTATAAATTATTAAGTACTTTGTATTTAAACTTTTAAATATTTTATTTTAGACTTATTTTATCATTAAACAACCTTAATAATTTATTTTATGATATTTACATAGTTTATATTTATTTTTATTAATTATATAAAAACACCAAAATATGTTAAGATCTTACGATCCTATTTGCGATCTTACGATTTACGATGTTATCTTTTCTTTACGATTTTAGTTAAAATCTCGATTTTAACAACCTTGATTATAGCCTATTTCTATTGATTCTAGAGACCATATTAAGCAAATATTGAACCTGTTATGCATGACTCTGTGCTGCATAAGCTTCTGTTATAATTGCTTTAAAACTATGGAGAGTTTGGACTCCAACTTAGACTTGAGAGTTAGAACAGTGAACTAGTGGACCTTTACATGGTAGGTAAGTGAGTGCACGCACATTTAGTGGACTCCATAGTCTGTGCTATTACTGTTTATTGTGATATGTTTGTGTGATAGTTTTGTGGCTACAATGTCTTAATTTTTTGGTAAGACCACTACAATTAGAAATTAATGGAGTTTTTTTCATAAAGAACTAAGTAAAGATTATCAGCTTAACTTAAGGTTAAGAATTATGCTTACTAGGCTCACGCTCATGGTGTTTATTCCACCATTTCAGATGGTAGAGAGTGAAGTGTATAGCTGGTGATCCTAAATCCTTTTTGGTCAATGTCCTTTGCAAACAATGAGCTATGCTTCCAACTATTAGTAAGGCAAATTTGTATCTACCCAAAACTATAGTTTGGCTCTGTAAATTTTCAATACATTTTGTACCATACTTGAGCCTGGGAAATGCAAGTAAAACAAATATTTTTGTTTTTCTAAATAGTTCTTTCTTTCCCTATCGGTGCGCACTCTAAATTTTCTCTCAAGTAGTATAGAAAGCTTTCTTTTCTGCACAAGCAAATTTATATTTACTCATCTATTATGACTTTAGTTCAAAGTGACTCAAACTTCATGCCTATTCCTTAAGAATTGAAATTATGAACTAGATATTCCTCTACTTGATAAGCCTTGAGTTTATCAAAAGAGGGATGTTACACATTATCCTTAAAATATGCTTGAATATTTTGAAACAGAAAACTATCAAAAGAATTAACTATAAAAACAAGAGAAGAAATTAATCTCCTATGATTTTACCCTTTAACAATACAGCTTTCTCAATTATCCTATGTTTTTTACCAATGGCTTGTCTTTTCCAAAAAAGAATAATACATCTCCAGACAAAAGGGAAAAAAAATGAAAGGGCAGAACATAGTTTGTACCATGAAGTAGTTAAGCTTCTAGAACTAAGTAGATTATGCACCTAGAAGAACATGTTCTGCAAGTTCCACTAAAGAACTCCCATCACCTTGATTTATAAATAGGTTTAGCTAAAGCACTGCATAAGAATTAAACAGTCTATAAAATTCCAAAATTATAATGGAAGTGATACATGCACCCAGCTTACAAAAGATGAGAGGTAGGAAATTTACAAAAAAGATCCGCTGATAGTTTGGAGTATCATCTCCTTGGCAAACATAATACAAAGATTTCAGTTCCAGCAGCAGTTGTTAAAAATTTGTTAGATTAAAAAGAGAAAAAAAAAAAAAGGCTTATAAAAAAAAAACCCTTCTTGATAACAGCAGAAAACTAGATAGAGAAGAGAGAAATCTCAGAAGTTAAGAAGTCACACAACAGTACACAACCAATTCTCTTGTCAATACTAATGAAAAAGAAAATAAATCATGTCAAGCAAACCATTGAATATCTTAGAAGCTCTTTGTGCCCATCCCAAGTCTGGAACACCAAAAATTTAACTTCTAAAAAATCAAGATCATGAAGCATTATTTTCAATAAATACTTATAATAAATAATATCATAAATATAGCCATAAATAGACAGGAAAATTTTACTCCTAATGAGGTAAGATTGAAAGAACCAAATATACTATTGATGCACCAATTGTATCACGCAACCATTATGTCAAGAAAGGGGATCTATTACTTCCACAAAGTACAAGTAGCCAGATATTATTTACCATAGGAAGGTTAAAAAATAAGAACCATCTCCACTTTAGAGGAGAAAACCTAAAACAGAGTGGAGTGCATTGCTGGCCATCTCCTAAAAAATTTGTACCTCACCAAACAAATGGTAAAAAAAATAGAAGATAAGAACATAATTTTCACAATATGTTTTGCTTGCTCAACATAAAAGAACTCTCTCATCAACTTCAATTCTTATTAGATTTAGCAGCAGCACTGCATAAGAAACATGTAATGAGATAAACCAAAAATGAATTGTAATAAAATTGATAAACATTGACTATTGAATATAAACAACAGTTGTTAAACCATTTTCATATTAAAAGAGAAGAAAAACTCAAAAGGTCATAAGAAAGCTGGATAAAAGTACCAAAGGGAGATTAAGGTTCCAAATGACTTGAATATGTAATAATAAAGGAGATGTTACATAGCAAAATTTATCTCATGAGTTGCAAGGTCACAAAGCAAGAGATAGTCAATACTCAAAATACCTATGAAGAGGAAAACTTAAATCAAGTAACCCACTAAATATCTTATAAGAACACTCAATGGCCATCAAATGTCTGTATATTTAACACAAAAATGTAACTTGTGATAATCAGGATCACAAAGCCTTGAAAGTAATTTCTCAATAATTTACTATAAACAGGAGATGTATCATAAATATTGGCCAACACAGAGTGAAAAGATCAAAAGAACAAAATTTGCTCCTAATGCACCAGATGAATCACACAAGAACTAAGCATACTTACTCCTTGTACAAGCAAAAAATCTTGATACTTTCACATAAAGGGAGTTTTAAGACATAGAAGACATCTCTGTCAGTCCAACATATGAAATAGTGATATTTTTCAATATCTAGAAATATATAAAATGGAAAAGAATGTACCCAACAATTTTACATAAAAATGGCCACAATCTAATGTAGCACT